TCAGCTGGTTATTCTAGTTAGCATTTCGTCTAACCTTTTTTCAAAGTTTTTAGTTTCTTTGCATTGGGTTAGAACACGCTCGTTTTGCTCAGAGAAGTTTGTTATTACCCACCTTCTGAAGCCTGCTTCTGTCAATTCATCAAACTCATTCTCCATCCAGTTTTGTTCCCTTGCTGTTGAGGAGCTGTGATCCCTTGGAGGAGAAGAAGCGTTCTGGTTTTTGGTGATTTCAACCTTTTTGCGCTGGTTTCTTCCCATCTTTGTGGATTTATCTACCTTCGGTGTTTGAAGTTGTTGACTTCTAGATGAGGTCTCTGAGCGGACATCCTTTCTGTTGATGTTGAAGCTATTTCTTTGTTTTTTAGTTTTCCTTCTAAAAGTCAGGTCCCTCTGCTGCAGGACTGCTGGAAGTCCACTTCAGACCCTGCTTGCCTGGGAGTCACCCGCAGGAGCTGCAGAACAGCAAAGATTGCTGCCTGTTCCTTCCTCTGGTAGCTTTGTCCCAGAAGGGTATCTGCCAGATGACAGTCAGAGCTCTCCTGTATGAGGTATCTCTTTGGATATACAGGAGTCAGGGAGCCACTTGAGGAGGCAGTCTGTCCCTTATCAGAGTTCAAGTGCTATGCTGGGACCTCCATAGCTCTCTTCATAGCTGCTGGGCAGAGATGTTTAAGTCTGCTGAAGTGGAACTCACAACAGCCCCTTTTCCCAGGTGCTCTGTCCCAGGAAAGTGGGGCTTCATTTGTAAGTCCCTGATGGGCTGCTGCCTTTTTTCAGAGATGCCCTGTCCAGCAAGGAGGGAGTCTAGTCACAGTCTGTCTGCAGAGGTCTTGCTGAGCTGCCGCAGGCTCCGTCCAGCTGCCGTGTAAACTTCCTTATGATTTTATTTGCACAGGCAAGGTTAGAACTGCCTCGGTAACGGCAGGTGCCCCCCAACACACCCAGCTCCATGGTCCCAGGTGGAGCTCAAACTGCTGTGCTGGCTGGGAAAATCTCAAGCTGTGCTGGCTGGGAAAATCTCAAGTCAGTGGGTTTCAGTTTGCTAGTCTTTGTTTGGGTGGGACCCACCAAGCCAGATCACTTGGCTCCCTGCCTTCAGCCCCCGGAGAATGGGCAGTTCTATCTCGCAGGGGCTCCAGGCCCTGACTAAAATGGCCACCCAGTTTTGTGCTGGAAACCTGCGGTGCTGGTGTTGACAGGTACCAGCAGGAATCTCCTGGTCTGTAGGCTGTAAAGACCGTGGGAAAAGCGCGGTATCTGAGCTGGAGTGCTAGAGTGTCTAGAAAAGTCCCTGAGGGCCTCCTTTGGGTAGGAGAGGGAGTCCTCCAGTCCCTTGCACTTCCCGGGTGAGGCAACACCCCATCCTGCCTCTGTTTGCCCTCCTTGGGCTATGCCCACTGTCCAACCAGTCCCATTGAGATGAACCTGGCACCTTGGTTGGAAATATGGAGACCACTCGCCTTCTGTGTCACTCTTGCTGGGAACTACGCTCTGGAGCTGTTCCTATTTGGCCATCTTGGTGGAAGTCCCCTAATTTTTAATTTTTTCTTATTGTAGAGATCAGGTCTTGTTATGTTGCCCAGGCTGGTCTTGAACGCCTGTCCTCAAGCGATCATCTTGCCTCTGCCTCCCACAGTGTTATGATTACAGGTGTGAGCCCCTACACCCTGCCCATACGAGGCTTTTCTGTACAGACTAATTTAAAATGCTGTCAAAATGGAGTAAATTATATAACAAAATCTATTGGATGTAGCCAAAACTATAGTAAGGGGATAAATGCACAAAGTTTATTCATTGTTTTAAAAGAAATAAAGTATTAGCCCAACAAGTAAGAACAGGAACAAAAGCAACCTCAAAGAAAGCAGGAAGGAGAAAATAACAAAGCAAAAGTAAAAAAAAATAAGGAATCAGATGCTTGCACAATTCTAGGAAGATGCTAAAAATCACTAGACACTTTGAAATGGGGAATTTTTTTTTTTTTTCCTGAAACAGAGTTTCACTCTGTTGCCCTGGCTGGAGGAGCACAGTAGTATGATCTTGGCTTAGTGCAGCCTCACCTGTCAGGCTCAAGTGATTCTCCTGCCTCAGCCTCCCGAGTAGCTGGGATTACAGATGTGCCCCACCACACCCGGCTAATTTTTTGTGTTTTTAGTATAGACAGGGTTTTGCCGTGTTGCCCAGGCTGGTCTCAAACTCCTGAGCTCAGACAATCTGCCTATCTTAGCCTCCCAAAGTGCTAGGATTATAGGAATGAGCCACCACGCCTGGCCTAAAATGGTGAATTTTTTGGTGTATGTAAGCTACATTTCAAGTTGTTATTAAAAAGATAATGAACCAGAAAAGAGAATAGCAGTAAAATTTAAAATGAAATAAAATTTAAAGTCTGGTGCTTTTGAGAAAAAAATAAGATACCATAAAATCAGCAACTAATCAAGAAAAAAAAAAACAATAATTTTTAAAACAGAGGAAAGAGATAAAATAGTTTGAAAACTTTAAAAAATTTAAGTGAAATACTTCATGTCAACCCTTAAATAGATT